CTAGAATAATATACTGTTTTATTCTACCTAATCTTATTTTTCTTTGGAAATTCTGCACATCATTTGATGCTTTTTTATCCAGCATCTTATAAGAAAACGGATTAGTCTCTTTTCTAATATTTAATTTTACAATTAAGTAAATATTAATTTCTGTAGCAATCTTCACTTGTAGTAAAGTAAAGATTGTTTATTTAAGCATTCACATTAGTTCCTCCTCATCTTCCTTTTTCTTTTATTTAACTAAGTTATATTTAAGTTGTGACTTAGTAAGTTATCGATAGTTCTAGATAGTATAGAACGGTATAGGACCTGATACAGTATGATTCTAAAATCAAATAATAAAACTGTCCGTTAAAATAATTTTGCGCTCGATAGCAAACGTATGCTTTTCGATTTTCGATAATAACATCGTTCGAAATTTGAATGAATCACGTGACGTGAGTCAATCCCCATTGTTCCGACACAATACAACGTACAACATTCGACCGGGTCCAAGTAAATTAGGAAATGTATTTTTTATTGGAAAGCCTTTTGGAATGACAATTGGAAGTAATATATGATACACGTACTCGATTCCAGTTAGAACCGTGAGAGTATTTGAATATTGCCGGCGTTCGCGGCGCGCGCCCGCCTTTGGAAATTTCGCGTTTTTTTTCTCTTGTTCTTTTTACTTTTAATGCCCCTTCATTAAGGCCCCCGTCCCCACATGTGTAATGTTTACGAACAGCGTTTATTGTACCAAAAGTCAAACATTTGCATTGTTTTACGGAGAAGTGCGACTGGAAAAATAATAATTTTTATTTATATAACAATCACGTTCGGCTCACATTGATTGTTTGGTAGTGGGTGACGTCACCTCCGCCGCCTGATAAGGCACTTCCGGTCGAAATCCTGACCGATGGGAGAATGGATGACCGAATGAACGGAACTCCGACCTCAGCCAACATGAATATACCTTTTCCTATAAGATATCCGCGGGGAACGGAACGTTCACGTAAACACAGCTAAGAATTACTTTACAATAAACTAAATGGTTTAAACTTTGTATTACTGTATAGGCGACTAACCGTGTGCTTCTGAGACCAATATCGGTTTAAAACATATAAGTTTTATACAGAGATTTTTCTCTCACGGTTAGTAGAAAGAATTGTAGACATGATTATTTTCATATTAAAAAAATAACGAGTACCAAATAACTTGCCATTTTTGGTAACCTTTTCTCAGTTATTTACATTATTGAAATGATTATTTATAAAGTAATTGCATGTAAATTATGATCAATGTTTTATTGTTTAAAAGCTCTCTTTTGCTAATATTTTACTAAACGCAACAGTTAACGTGTTTAATTCTCTAATGGTCAAATAAAATGTAATATTATATAATAAGGATATAGCAAATTATATTAAATTAAAATGGAAACTTTGGTTTATAAAAAAAACTAACAAGTTCTAAGAATTGTACGTAATAATCAAATCACAATTCGTATTTTAAAGTTGACCTTTACGTCAATTATTATCGTGTTTGGAAAGCCATAATAATTACTATGGCAACACTAAATATAAAAATTTGAATTATTACTCTTTGTTAATAAAACTTGTAAGAGTTGAATAATAGAAAAAATCTTTATGAATTCTTTATGATGTTAGAAGTTTCAATAATTTATACCTTTTGAGTTAAGAAATAAGTTCTTTAGCGTAGATTTAGTGTAGGAATTTTACATTTATATTGTCTCTGAGTATGGTTGTTGTGATACCTTATTTACGTAGCTTTAAATATGAAAGTAATTAAGCAAAAAGTATTTGACAGAGAACGTTAGTTTTAAAATATAGTAAATTAATAGCTGCTAAGCAAATTCCACTAAAGTTGTTCAATTTAAAGCAAAATATCATCTTTTAAATATCATATTCAAATACTTATGTTTGTATACTACTGTATATCTTTAGTGCGTGCATCATCTGTCAAAATAAAGGTCAATATGTCAATTCTGTTGCGTTTCGAAACGATGTCGGATTGTTCGTGATACATTATGTTAAAATAAATTCGTACACGAAACAGCGAAAGTTAAGTTATATCTTACTAATATTATAAATTTAACAGTGGTAGAGCGAGCTTTAACATCTTCGCACGAATTGGTCCGGCTCGCCCGTGAAATACTACGACAACACAGAAGACAGGCGTGAAGTGGAAGCAATTCCAAGTGCAGTCTGATGAGTGTGCGTCCTGGAGGCCAAAATTAGTCCTCTTTCCCTTCCCACCCTTTTCTCATAAGGGAAGGATGGGAAATGGAAGTGGACTTTCCGGACTTTTTGCATGGAAGGGGAAAATATTTTATTTCTGTGCATCCTCTCCTCCGTCGATTAAAGGTAGGCAACGCATATGCAATTGCGTATGTCTATGGGCAACGATCACTTCGCTATTTCAGCGATTTCAGGTGGCCGCTCGCTCGTTTGCCACCTTATGATATTTAAAAAAAAATCGAATGTTTAAATGGATGGATGTTCGTTTGAAGTGCATTTTGAACACAGTCTGGACGTCTGGTAGTTCCGTGCGTGGAGTCGCGGGCGACCGTGAATTATGATAATAAATAAATTAATTATTAAGGGGATTTTCATTTTCTTTTAATGAGAAAAGATTTCTTTTAATGCGACTTAAAATTATTAACGGCCAGTATTCTTACCTTTATTTATTGACCATTCTAACAGTTTGATACTACGGTATAATTATTTTTTTATAATTTTTAATTTACTACCGAAACTAGGAAAAAGAAATATTTGCAACTGTGAAATTTAAATCCAATTACATTTGTTAAATACCGTTTGAAATACTTCTGTTAAATTCGCAAGAAAACTAGTAAAACGATTCTCGTTTTATTATAATTATTGCTTAGTTATAAATTATTTAAATTTAAAATCCTGGCAGTTGTATTGAGAATGATTGAGAGAGAAAAAAGAAAGAAGTTTGTACGAGCGTATCTTACAGTTGTGACCAATTGATTTGAACGCAGTGGCTTGACGGCGGATCGTTAGAATAAAACATTTAATATAGTATATTAGACGGGGATTATAGGAAAATGTAAATATTGACTAAATCTTCTCGAGGTTAAGGCTTCTAATAAAATGGTAGTTTTAGCTTTAGTAATTTAATATATTTTAGACAGTATTAGAATCATTTGACGCGAATGACGTGCTTTCGTTACAAAGTCCAGCGTCAGAATGAATAGTGAGTGGACATAAACGTCGACATTTTAGTAAGGCTAGTTGAGTCAATACACTGCCACATTTTCGGATTTTATTCCTAACATATAATAAGATATATTAAGTCTGAATACATGTAACAATAAGATGGGGTTAAAATAAACTTATTTCGCTTTTAAACTGTGACATCGTCCTATTAAAACTATCGTCTTTGAAAGCGCAGATTTTAAAATAAAGCCGAAAGTAAATATTCACATGTTTAAAATACAAAGTAACTATATTATTATATGTTTCATCAAATTAAATTGAAAAAAAGAACCAAGTGACTTCATAAAATGTTGACATGGAACGTTCGTCATAACGAAATATTTCTTAGAATTTCATAAAGGTTGTGATGATTTGAATATTAAAAACATCAGTATCCATATACTGTACAAATATTTTATATGCATGTCTTTGTTTAACATATTATAAAAGAACGGGACAAAATTTATGATGCATTTTAAGGCTTCGTATTGTTTAGTCACGATTCTAAGCTATACGAATCTTTAGCTAGTTTTTAAACTTATTTTTACGTTTCCGTACCTCATAGGAAAAAACGAAAACCTTATAAGATCACTTTGTGGTCCGTCTGTCTGTCAAGACCTTTTTTTATCTTAATAAGCCTTACTTTTTAATAGTATTTTGATTATTAAAGACAATTTAAGATTTTAGATTCTGAACCAAATTTATTTTTGTTAAACAAATATTTCGTCTTACAAATATAAAATAGACCTTTATCCAAACACAAGCTAATTTATAAAATAACTGGAATAGGTACATACTTCTTTATAATAATAAAAAATATAAATCAAGAAAATTATCAACTTATATATTAAGATAAATTCAATGTTTGACTTAATGTATTAAATATTTATTCCATACTATTTTGAAGTGTCACGGCTTCAAAACCTCGCGACCCTAGCGACCCTGAAATTTCTAGATATACTCCTTTATCGACTCCCAGATATCTGATAGAGCACGCGGAATGCCATTCAGAAACTTTAACTGCCTGCGATGTAAAGCTCTGTTCATATTACAAATATATTTAAAAAATAATATAAAAATGTCACATTCAGAATTTATATATCATTGGGTTGCGAATAGTTCCTTGTTTCAATTGTTTTTATTATGGATAAATTGCTATAACGTATTTTAGCCGAAGGAGGAGTTTATATACGTTTGTATGTTCTTTTTTTTAATTATAAATATATATTTGAAACATGTAAACTATTTAATAAGATTTTATATATTTTATTTCTAAATTAATTTAATTATGTTATACAACCAGTATTTTCTTATATCATTCATTTGGCGTCGCTTATAAATTGAATTAATAATGAACGTTATTATTATATAATCTGTGGTACTTATTAATAATCATTCTAATAGTATTAAGATAAATATTAAACACTTACTTAAAGTTTATTGAACGTTAACCGATCTTGAATCTCTGTATAAACCACCTATTTGGTATCTTGTTTATATTATGGAAGCTAACATTATTTTTAAACCACAATGTTCTATTACTTTTAGTTAACTTGTCTAGATTTTATTCGGTATCAAAAGCTAAACTGCACTACGAAGCTTTACAAAGTTTTAAGTTATTTTATGCACTCTAATAATTGTACTAACTTAAGTGATTCTATTTCTTAAATATAACATGCAATTAAATAAAAATTAATCAACTATTGAACTTCCATAAAGCTATATTTAAGCTAATGAATTTAATAAAATCATTAGTTATAAATTTATGATGTAACTCACCTTAATCTACGACATCCAAACACGAACGAAAATAAATTTATCAAACAGAGTTATAGTACACACGATGTTTTTATGATGCACAAACAAAATCCAAATGTTTTCGCACTCACAGTAAAGTACACTTTCACAGTTTTCCCAAAGCAAAAAAAAAAGTTTATCGTCGCCTCCTTACTAAACTTTATTTACGTAAACCTGAAAACAAAGTTCGTTGTATTGAAGCGCGGGAGAAATCGAAAATTAAACGAAACTTGTAGAGTCGGGGGACACGAGGCAGTCGCGCGCGCCTTACACACGCGACTGAAAAAAAATTGCCACATCTACGTAAGTCTCGGAAACTAAATCAAAATACCCGATAGAGAGGGACGAGTCTGCGGAGGCCCCACCCTACCCCCACCAGCTGCCGCACGCAAAAACATTCGTAAAAACCACGCGCACGACTACTCCGCGAAAATTATCAATAATGTTTATCTCATAATCGACAAAATACGTAAAACCAATTCAGCTGTCGCCACGGTCCTATATTATAACAATTAAAACGAATCACACTACTATTCCGACAATGTCGAAATATTTGAAACAATATACATGAGTTTAAATTGTAAGAATCATAATAATAAACAACGAACGTGTTATTGAAAATAATATGCGCTGCGAATGCGTTCTCCTCGCTCTTTGTTATGTATCAAATTCGGTAACGAATTTTTTAAAAAATCGAATCGAGTTTTCCCGCGCTCCTGTAAAATTTCGGCTAAGCGTCCGGGGCCTGATGGAGCGACCGCGCGCCTCAGCCGCCAGCCCGCGAATACCGGCCTCGCTTCCAGCGCGACACACACACAACGTTTTTTTTTCTTTTAATTCCGCCAAAAAACGCGTAAGAAAAGGCTCCCCAGTTTAGGGTTAACTGTGAGGTCGGGCGCTAAGATGTTCGTGTTTTTTTCTTTTTTTCTTTATAAACATCGTCGTGTACCGTTCGCGAACTGGAGCGTATTTGGAGTGTTGACCTTCGACCGGCCGGCTGTTCGAAATTCAAAAACGAAATTACTTTTGAACTCAACCATCTCGGGATGAACGTTACCTTTTTTATGTCTCTAGCTCAATTCTAGATCTAATTAAAATTAATGTCCGGTCTAAGACATTTTTTTTGATAAACCTTGTCCATACAATGTAGCAATTGCTACCTCTTTCAATACCAAGAGAAACTTGGTAGTCAAAAATTGTTTTTTTTTTACTATTTCTAAACTAAGTTCAAAAGTCCATGTATTAAAGTATATTCGTTCTATAGCTAGGATAAGTAGTTAGATGGTTAAAGAAGAAATACATGTACCCATATTCATTGTACCCATTGATGCGATGCTTCCTATAGTAATATTTATGATAATTTGAAGAGCAATTAATTACTTTTTATCTCGTAAATAATTTCTCCAACGGAAGCGCCGGCTCCGACTGGTTATAGTTTTTTAATCTTAAACACAAAACCAGCCTGATGCAATTTAAGGAATTGTTTTTTTTTATAACTTTTAATAGAATTCAATTGATTCGTTATAAGTAAGTTAAGTTACATATTGTTTTATTAAAAGGTAATAGTTCAAATTATGATAAGGGAAGTATTCAACTTCTACGTGTGTAATTTTCAAAGGTTTTTACGTTTCTTCTAATAAGTAATATAATTTTTATCTCTTTCCTTTCCAGCCAGCTTTCCATATCTGTTTTTTTCTTTACTTCTCATATGATTAATAGAAGTTTTTTTTTCTTGATATTTGACTTATTTCCATGCTTATGATTCAATTTATAATCCGATCACTAGACTGCAAATTGTTTAATCTATACTTCCATACCTATGTTATAAAGAGTAAAGATTTGATTGTTTGTTGAATAGGTTCTGAAACTACTAAGCCATTACTTGAAAAATTATTTCCCTGTAAGTAATCAAGACTAACTCCAGGTGACATATTCTATATTAATTACTAGATTTTTTTAAATAAAAGTATTTTTTTAGATTTTTATTCTTGACAAAACAAAATTCGGCTATGTCATCGCCTTTTAAGCATTCCATGAACTAAAAGGCCACAGCTGCAAACTTTTGTAATTAATTAGTAAGAAGTTAAAGACGTTTTTTACATAATTAAACAAAGAGTCGATTCAATCGATTTCCAATTCAGTATAATCTGATTGCTTTGCGATGATAATTCAATTCCATTCCTAGGATTGCATTTTTAAACTATTTATTTAAAATGAGAATTATGTTTCTTAACACATTCAATGCTACTCGCTCGCTCTGCGAGTCCACGTCGATACGTGAAATTCATAGTGGCATTTAACGTGTTAATCGATCGTTTTATCGACTAATTAATAAAAAATAATTCATAGTATTTTACAATCGCGTTGTCTTATTGTACAACTGTTTTCAGATATCTTGACGGCTCTGAACTTCGCGCGAGTAATTGCGCAGAACACAATGTTAGGTGTAGCGGGATGCGGGGGGAGGGCAGTGTCGATGATCTTTAGCCGTTAGGATATTTGAAAAGATTTATACAAGTTAATAAAAAATAAACATTAAATTCAATGTTAATATAACTAAATAGCTATTAAGTTATGCAGCGTGATGCTAAATCATATCACTTGCAGACGGAATTCTGCGTTACGCCCACGCGTGTGTAAAACAGAAACCTAAAAGCTAGACGTAGAGTGTCTATAGTTACCTAAATATGTACACCAATGATTTGTTTCTCAGAAGCTGTGGCCGATATACCTTTCTTTTGATTAATTACTGAGAACACAACGAGACACATCACGGTGGTCGGAACATGGGGGTCTGGATTTTAATACACGAATTTGAATTTATTTATAGGTATGAATAAAGATACATACTGTAGCATCTATATACACAATAGATCAAGACGTATAAGAAAATTAAAAATAATTTTTCAGACCTGTAGTTAAATCAAAAACATCCTGTATATAATCTTATAAACATTTTACCTAAAGATTAAAAAAAAATCCAATAATAAAAATTAAATTCTTAAAACAACATCAAGTAATGTAACAAAATGGACTAGACGCACTATATGTATAATTAGTTGCATTTTGATAGTGAGTTAAGGCGCGAAATGTCAGCGTCTATTTTTGCGCGGGAAACGCGCGTCGTCTGTCAACGGTGGCGGGTGTTGCGCATGCGCGACTCTCGTTCCTTTCGACACGTAAGAATGCGCATTGTGATAGATTTTTATACTTATTTAAACAATCAGAAAACATCGTTCAAGAACGCCTAAACTAGAAAAGCCTAATGGCTTTTTTAGTTTAACAATTCAAGTAGGAGACGAAAACTTGGTGCAGATATTATAAGGTGTAGGTTCCTTCACTAGAAAAAGTACTCCGAATAACACTTCTTTAATATTCTGTTTGTAATACTAAAATTGTAAACATTAAGGACGTAAATATAAAATATAATAAGTTATGTTTTGTTAATAATTAAATAAGTAATGTAGTTTTAAACTCTTACGTCGTACTTTTAGCGTGGATAGATTCCATATACGGATTTTTCGTTTGCATTATCTTTTATATAAAATTCTCGTGTCACAATTATCGTTCCCATACTCCTCCAAAACGGCTTGACCGATTCTCATGAAATTTTATGAGCATATTGAGTTGGTCTGAGAATCGGCCAACATCTATTTTTAATCGCGCGCGGACGGAGTCGCGAGCGACAGCTAGTAGTATATTAAGTAGCAGCATCCTAACATGTTGTCATTAAGTGACATATTTTCCTGCGTCTGACAAAAACAAAAGATAAAGTACTAGTATTACATAATATGCAAATGTTTTCAAATATAAAATGACCTAATTTCGACCAATATTCGATCATATTGATCCTCGTACGTGCGGTGTTCATGATACCTCAACGTGATCCCAGTCCATAAAGCGAGTGTATCCCGAACTTTGACTATTAAGAGACAGGATCGGTCGCGTTCACATTCCCCTCTGAGTAATAAAACATGATAAGTTTCAAACTGGCTTCTCAAATTACCACAAAGTTTTCGTTCGTTTTACGTTTGTAAATTTTTGAGTCGCTATGCATTTATAAAGACTTTTCAAATTTACATAAACACTAGCACAGTATGAAGCTATGTGATTGGCATCTTTACTGCGCTACGTCAAAAGTGGTAGAATTTATTTAGTACTTGGGCGACTCTATGCCTAGTCTGTTTGTCTACAGTCAAAGATCCCGAAGGATCACCTCGATCGGACGCACGCATAACAATCCACACGTATGTGTGCGTGCTCTGTACAATGATACTCTCCACACATGAGTTGCCTTCGTGTTAACAATAAATCATACCAATGTATTTGTGATCGAGAACTCTGATATGGGATGCGGTCTTTAACTTTATCGATATCGATATTTAAGTATTTGTGTCTATTTATAATAAACTTATCAAGTACTAAGCCATTGCTTACATTGTTATGAAAACAATGATAAATATAATTACAAAATCTAATAGTTATCCTTACTTATAAAAGTTTGATTTATAAAATCCTATTTTGCAGAGTTGAAATAAGCAATTTTATGCCCCCTGTTACCGTTTCTTGAGTTACTTTCACTTTGGTTAAAATAATTGCGTATACTTAAATGTAAATAAACGATGTATATAACAGAGATACAATTCAATTGTCTACAAGATCAATATCAGGTAATCTAGCCGACTTTTTATTATAAAATATTGTTATCGATATGTTGTTCGTCGTCGCAAGTGGTACATCCCTACCACCCACACATTCGCAATCCTATTAAGATAGCAAAACGTTTATGTTTGAGTAATCGTGTAGCATTTCTTTCTCGTATTGTAATTTATTGGGCTGTAACGAAGTTAATTATTGCGATTTTTGTATTAAACGTTGGAAATTATTTTTAGCCTTGCAGATGCAGTCGTGTGCTTTTTACCGGGAATCATCTCTACGCCCTCGTTTTTGTACGAGAGAATCGTATAAACAGTCACATTGTGCGATATAATTCAAGTTATGGAAAATAATAATCTTTGATAAGAAAAAAACGTTTTACTGACTTCGTTGTTTTTATAACAAAAAAAACTTAATGTACCACAGATAAAATATGACATTACAAACCGGTTGATCTGTCGATCCGAATATAAATGGTAGTAATATCATAAATTATTTCTGATGATTTTAAATGACTTGTCAAGTTATTAAATAATTAGATTTTTTTATTATTAAAAGATTTATTATTATTAGCATTTAATAGTATAGTAGTTTGGCGCCACATATACGATCTGCTTATTGGGAATTCTTAAATTAATGTTTTGTTCTTTGAGACCTATACCAGTTGACGCGTGCAACTCCGTCCGCGCAGAATTTAAAAACTTATAGCCTAACTGTTCTTCTAGACTAGTAATTCCCAAACTTATTTTGTCTACTGCCCACTTTGAAAATAAATATTTTTTAGCCATATTTTCACATATTTAAAAACCACTATAACTTCAAATTAACTTAATTAATTATTGTGACCTATATATGTATATTAACGGAGAATTCTAAACGAAACTTTTACTATAACCCGCAACTTGAGACCTGCAGCGCCCACAAGGGGGCGTTATCGCCCACTTTGGGAAAGACTGTTCTGGACTATGTTCTACATCTATGCCAAATTTCGATACCTTCTAACAAACATCCATCCATCTGAACATACCCATTTATAATATTAGCAAGATACACTGAAAGGTTTTGTTTTACAAAAATCTTTGCGTGTCGTAATATAGAAACTTTTCTATATTC